CATCCTGAGCAACATGAAGAATTGCTGCCAATATTGATCTAAGCATTACACTACCTGCTTTGGAAGCATCGGATGCAAAGATGATTATTTCCATTATTTCATCTGTCAGTGTTTAGGAAATCTGCAGAATATTTTCTGGTGCTGACTGCACCCCAATATTTTATGACTGTTCGGTACTGCTGGTGTCCTATTCAATGCTCTGGTTCGGTTCGTCATGTTATAATGGCAAACAGCAAAGAAACAGAAGACCACGACAAGTATTTGTTTGTGCTCCAGATAGTGTTTTGCTGGTGTATGATCGGAGAAAGGGCCACAAGCCGATTTCATGCTGTGTTTGGATTGTATATTTTATAATCCAGTTATTAAAATTTCTCTGCTCTTATTCCTTTACAGTGTGTCTTACATGTGAGGCTTCATTTTTCTAACGTTTTAAATCGTCCATCACATTTGCTTGTTTGCTCCTATGTTGATTTTCTTTTGTGTGTCATTACTGCTGGGTTTAGACAGAATCATGTTCTGTGCTTGTTAGAGATGCCTTTGTTTTTGCTGTATTGTGTAGGAGATTGTCAGTGCTTTATCTGCTGCTTATTTATCTGGTCAGTTTGACTTGTATACTTTGTGCTTGAATTTATTTTTTCTAAGTGTTACACGATTATTTGCACAGGTTTAAAGTTTGCTGATAACCAAGACTTAGATGTTTGCTATTTTTTTTATATAAAATATGCAAATAAGCCTCTACAGGAGGGGAAAGAACATATGGCCATTTTTACTTTTATCATTTACCATTTACTATTTCATTTTCATTGTTACAGACAGCAACAGGAGCTCTGGCACTACATGGACAGCAGGTGATTTACAGCAAAAATCACAAAAGGAAATCTCTGCAGAGCTGGAAAGGCAGAAAATAATTCAAGAAATGAGGAAGAAAACTAATCTCAGCAATGACAACAGTTGGATAAGGCAGCGTAGCTCCAGTATCACTAAAGAGACGTCATCTGTTCCAAATCTTATGAGAAGGTATGCTTTAGCTTTAAAAGAAGAAAAAAACTAAAAAGCTAGACATAGATTCCAGAACGTGGTCCAACATGCAGTTGCCTTGAAATCACAAATATCTATCCATAAACATTCATAGCAAAGTTACCTGATCATGCTAGTTAGCGGCGATAGATGAGTGCAGACACCTGGAAAGAGAAATAGGAGGTGTATGTTGCAGTTTGATAGCAATCATGAAATGATATGCATAGTAGCAAACTTAAACTTGTTGGCTTTTGGGTCACAGGAGTGCATTTGCTGACAGTCACTGCTCTCTGCTGGGAGCAGAAACCGAGAGCTGACCAGCGGTTACATGATCACTCGGCTCTTAGTCTTGGAGCAGACGTGGGACACCTGCAGTGAAGTATTGTGGAGAGTACATTTTGTTTACTTGCTGTAAAGTAATTTTTATAGGGTATTGGAATAGGTCTGTCCTAAAATCTCACCAACACATTGTAGATCATACGTTACCTGCATAAGACATGCTCTGGTCAGTTGTAGTGGAGATGTTTGGGGCACTAGAATAGATTCTCCCCCCCCCTCCTTTTTTTTTTTTGTATAAACAAAGCTTGCTTCTAGTGTCTTACACAGAGGATTCTATTTGCTTTTGCAGAGGTGAATCATTGGATAATCTAGACTCAAACCCAGGTTCCCAAAGACCGTCTTGGACAAATCATTCATCATCGTACAGCTCTTTGTCATCCAGTCAAGATTTTAGTCAACCATCTCAAGTGGTTTCCACATCTAACCGCACTTACCTACGTGACCCATATTCCAGCCTCCCAGTGTCTTCCTCAGGATCTGTGCGGAATGCTTCCCTTTCTCAGACATCTATGTCCTCTACTTTACCTCAAAATCAATCTACCACACAGACATCTGGTCAGCAGCGCAACAAGTAAGAGCACTGTTTAATTTATTTCATTTGTAGTCGTGTTTGAGTGCATTTCTTCTACCTGTGACAGTAGGACCATTTAGCAGGGATCAGCACTCTGAAGCTTTAATAGAGTTTCTCTGTTGCCTAATTATTACCTAGTACATCCTTTGTAAAAAAAAATCATCCTTAGTAGATCGGTCTTGCATGGCTTTTCAATTGTGAAAGAAAAGAATAGCATTGCAGACCTGATCATAAATAAGTTTCAGCTGGCATTTGCCCTGGATAGGGGCCAATTACCATGGTGTGGTCTTTGTAAGTTTCCGGCTTTTTTTTTTTTTTTTTTTTAAGATTTGTTTACCTATTGCTGCACTGTTATCCTCCTGTTGCTCCCATTGCAGTAACCAAACAAAATGTGAGTCATTAAACTAATGTTTTCTTTGAGATTTAGCAGTTAGACTGTAATTACATTTTGACTTCCATAATTGTTTCCTAGCTAAAGATGTTTTTATTCCTCAAGTCGTCAGATGGTGCTTCAGAATTCGTCGCTGCGGTCTAATGCTGCTTGTCTACAAAGGATCCCCAATTTTCTTCTTCTTTTGACTTGCTTTTACATTCCAGGATTCAAACAAGGACTGAGTTATTTTCTTATTCTGTATCTAGGTCAGTGAGCGGGAAGAAGTTGTGCTCTTACTGTAATAACAGTTTGGGCAAAGGAGCTGCCATGATCATCGAATCTCTTGGTCTTTGTTTTCATTTACATTGTTTTAAGGTGAGACTATGAGGGGATTTCAGTTGATCCTCTGTCAGCTTAACTAATCCGCATTGCTGTAGGTACTAACATTAATCCTGTGCATGTTGGAAGTTCATTGATATGGAAAATCCTGTCAAATATTAAGAGTTTATACTACAACCTTTTTTATCAGTATTATTCTTAAAAGGCTTAAAATGCATCTCTAGGAGAATTTAAAAAAAATTTGTGTAAAGTAGGAAAGGGTTAAGCGGTTAGTCCCTTAAGTTTTAATTGCCATCTATTTGCACTGAGAACCATTATCACCGATCAAGAAAATAAGGGGAAATACAAAATTTAAAATGTGTCCTCAGAAGTACAAGGAAATTTTTCAGTGGGGACAACAGTCTGATGGCAATTCTTATCACTTTGGGAAATTTCCTTTTAACTTTCTGTTTCTCTGGAAGTTGTGAATAGAAATTTCCCCAATGGTGCACTAAGGGCTAGTTCACACCAAATGCATTTGTGATGCAGTCCATTCAGTTTGGCAGCTGCATCAAAATCACATCAATGCTTTCCAATGGGATTTATGGTGCTCTGTTCACACCAGTGCAGTCCGTTCCGAAAAAATCCTGCTTACCACATTTTGACTGTACCGCAACACATGAAAATGCATTAAAAACGCATGCAAACACACTGGACTGCACCTTAAAGCCCATTTTAAGCTTAAAGTGTTAAAAACACTGCAAAATGCATCGCACTGCAGCTGCACAGATGCACGCAGTTCTGGTGGTATCTAACCCTAACAGCAAACAAAGGGCATGGTTTCTAGTATATAGAAACCTAAATCGTTTGCACCGAGTCCTGACCTCAACCCTACTGAACACCTTAGTACCTGACTTTGTAAGTGATTTTTCCCATGAATGGGCACAAATTCCAACAGATGCACCCTACAATATAGCTGCAGGGTGACAACTCCATATTAATGCCCATGGTTTTGGAATGGAATTTCCAAAAAGTCCATATAGGTGTGTTGATCATGTGTCTACAAACATTTGTGCATATTTGGGTCTATATGTGGGTCTATTTATCGTGGTTTCACCCAAGATTTACACAACTTTCACTTTTCTAAGGTTTACACTTTTTTCAAATGAAATCTTATGAGAATATGTGAATCTTGGATGAAAGTTTTATACATTTTTGATGAAAACCTATTTAAGAAATAGAACCCTGTAAAGTACTTAGAACTTTGAAAAAGTGGGTACTAGAAAGATATCCCCAGCACCTACTCCATTGTATTACCCTATAAATGCTGCCATAATTGATTCCTTTGTTCGTAACAGCTGCAAGATGCTAAATGTAACTGTTTAAAAAAACAAAAAAGGGAAAGCGAAATCTTTAAAAACTGGTTTTCTGAAAGCTCCAGACTACTTTTATATCATATATAAAACGGTTTTATAATTTACATGGTAATTTTTTTCAATTCTGGCACCTATGATGTAAGGAGGGGTTGGGGAGGAGTGACCACGCATCTTCTGAACCTAAACAATGGTCAGATGGTTATGGGCCTATCTTCAAGCCCCAGCTATCTGGTGAACCTTTGTAACATGCACAGGACAAAAGAAGGCCAGACATTACATTAAGATACATGTATAACATAGAATGCTAATCTGTAGCTAGCCTTTCTGGTGGTGCATTAAAACCATAATAGCACACATTTCTGATTGAATTTTACATCTACAGCTGCAACAACAAAGTATATGTTTGTCTTTCGTGTATATTAATCAAAGCATAATTGGTATCGAGCTGCGACTGTGCATTGTCTTCTTTCTTATAAGCTTGGAATGCTCTTGAAAACCTGGTGCTATTTTGAAAAATGTCTCTGTGCCGCATCTGTTTAGCTCATGCCAAATCTCTGCTCTTTTACTGGTGCTTTGTTGGATATTCTGCTTTTGCTTGACATGATCACCTTTTGTATAGTAAAGTAACCAAACCTAATTGCAATGCGTGCCTGCCAACTAATCCTCTAATCATTTAATTTGCTTTGCTGCTTGGGTTTAGATGTTTCAGGCTGTGCTGGATCTGTCTTCTAAACTGGAATGTGTGCAGAACCCTTGCAGTGTTTTTGACCCTCTTGTCTTTTTTAACAGTGTATTGCTTGCGAAACTGACCTTGGAGGATCCCAGTCTGGAGCAGAAGTCAGAATCCGTAACAATGACTTGTTTTGCAACAGCTGCTACATTAAATTTAAATGTAAGTGCATATAATCTGTGTCATGTCAACGTGCAAATATCTCTATGGTTTTACTATCTGAACTATCTTTATGCTTCAGTTTATGAAGCAAATAAATAGTTATCATAGTTCAAGAAGATTCCATGACAGGTATAAAACCCAATTTGTAAAATTAAGGTAGCCCAATGTGTTCTCCATAAGTATTGACCTCTTAAATGTTTAGCTTACCACTAAGGTAAGACATTGTGGTGCTTAATCTGTTTAACATCGACTATATATATAGAATGATCTTAAAAAGAACTATAAAGAAACTATTGGAGGAACAGTCTTGTTTTGCTTTTAATGACAGTATGCAATACAGATTTAATGAGATGATCTTGGGTCATTGCGTGAAATTGGGAATTACATGCAGGCAACACTTTTTATAACAGGGTTATTTATATCCACTTTTTATATTTGACAGGAGTAGAACACAGTGATGTATTTCCTTGTTTAAGCATCATAAATGTACACATTAAATTATGCATCGGGTGTCTGTTAAGTTACTTGTGCATTGTGATGACGTGTAACGGTTTTAAAGGAACACGGCTGTATTTTACATCACCTATTTCTTTTGTGTACCGTAAGAAAGGACATAATGTTTTTCATTGTGGCACTAGGCATAGAAACTCATGTGGCGGTGTTGTCCTTGAGAATCACAAGTTTAAAAAAAAGTGGAAAAACTCATGACAGTACACTGGAAGTTTTGTGACACACTAAACACAGTGCTAAGGGTCTTAAATCATTTTTTTTTTTTGGTTCTTTACCTTTTTTAATCACTTTTTAATCATAGGAGATAAGCCCTAAAAACCTTCAACAGAGTTTCTATGGCTTACCTCCTACATTTAGCCACTCGCTCCATGTTTCCAGTACAATTCCTGGTTGTCATTTTGACAGGCAGCAATAGCAGCAGGGAATTTTCATAGCAGGAATGGGTCTAAAAACACAGCTACTCCTGTGTAAAATGACACTTGCAAGTGTCATTGAGTAATAGTTTACCAATGTATGGGTAGAATGTTTGTTTTTTTATTTTTCTGTTTCATTCATATGTAGATTGAAGGTGTGACCTTTTGATCTGCATATGACCTCATTCAAAGAAACTTTGTAAAACCTTTTAAAAGAAAAAAATGAAAATTTACATTATTTAATAATATATATCTATATATAGATGTATACCAATCCGCCATAACATTATGACTACCCGCCTAATATTGAGTAGGTCCCCTTTTGACACCATCCAGCCCTGACCCATCTAGGCATGGACTCCAGTAGGCCTCGGAAGTTATGCTGAGGTATCTGGCACCAAGCCATCAGTAGCAAAGCCTTTAGGTCCTGTAAGTTGCGAGGGGTGGTCTCCATGGTTGACTTGTTTTTCCAGCACATTCCACACAATTGGATTGAGATCTGGAGAATTTGAAGGCCAAGTCAACACCTTGAACTTGTTTTCCTCAAACCATTTTTGAGCCATTTTTGCAGTGTGGCAGGGAGTATAAACATGCTGAAAGAGAACACTGCTATCGGGGAATACCGTTTCCATGAAGGGGTGTACTTGGTCAGCAACAACGTTTAGTTAGGTGGTACATGTCAAGTAACATCCACATGAATGGCAGGAGCCAAGGTTTCCCAGCAGAACATTACCCAAAGCATCACACTGCCTCAGTCGGCTTGTCTTCTTTCATAGTGCATCCTGGTACCATCTCTTCCCCAGGTAAGCAAAGCAGCGGGCCATCCACATGATGTAAAAGAAAATGTGATTCATCAAACCATGCCACCTTCTTCCATTAAAAAGGTTGAGTGTTCTGCGCTACGAAACAGACCCCAAGGGAGAGATTTTACAGAGAGTAAGGGTTAACCGCAAGCTGCTGGAACTAAGGCCAGATAAGCCTCACAAAATAGTTTTAGAATAGTGAGCGCTATGGGTCTCCTGGAGTGAAGTGAGAGTCCAACAATAAGTGGTATAAAAATATATATATATGAATATCTCTAAGCAAACATCATATAATGTGAAATAAAAATGCTAAAGTGATATGTGAATAAACAAATCGAAAAACAAAAATGTAAATCAACTAATAAAATTGCTTAAGTATAAATAAACAAATAAATCTTCAATAGACCGTGTGTCCGTGATTTTTTTCTCTGATTTTAGATTCAGTTATATGCACACTGTAATACAGAAAAAATCAGAGAAAAAAATCACGGACACACGGTCTATTGAAGATTTATTTGTTTATTTATTTATACTTAAGCAATTTTATTAGTTGATTTACATTTTTGTTTTTCGATTTGTTTATTCTCATATCACTTTAGCATTTTTATTTCACATTATATGATGTTTGCTTAGAGATATTCATATATATATATTTTTATACCACCTTCTTCCATTGCTCTGTGGTCCAGTTCTTATGCTCATGTGCCCATTGTAGGCACATTTGGCAGTGTACACGGGTCATCAAGGGCACCTTGACCGGTCTGCGGCTATGCAGCCCCATACACAACAAACTGCTATGCAATGTGTGCTCAGACAGCTTTCTATCAGAACCAGCATTAACATTTTCAGCAATTTTGAGCTACAGTAGCTCTTCTATTGTATCAGACAACAAGGGCAAGCCTTTACTCCCCATGTGTATCAGTGAGCCTTGGCCACCCATGACCGACACTGTTACTGGTTTTCCTTCTTTGGACTACTTTTGGTACGTCCTGATCACTGTAGACTGGGAACATCCCATGAGCTCCAGTTTTGACGTTGGTTTGACCCAGTCGTTTAGCCATCATAATTTGGCCCCTGTCAAAGTTGCTGAGATCCTTATGCTTGATAAAAAAATTTCTGCTTCCAACACATCAACTGAACCACAATGGTTGACTATTGATATGGTCCAAAAACAATTAGACAAAATTAAGGTGAACAAAGCACCTGGACCAGACGACTTACACCCACGTGTCCTCAAAGAATTGAACTGTCATTTCTAAGCCATTGTATTTAAATTTTAGAGACTCTCTAATGACTGGCTTGGTACCGATGGATTGGCGCAAAGCCAATGTGGTGCCTATATTTAAAAAGGGATCAAAGTCTTTACCAAGTAATTACAGACCTGTAAGTTTAACTTCAATAGTTGGGAAGATACTTGAACGTTTGATCAAGGATCACATGCAATTGTTTTTGCTTGAAAATAATATAAGCGACAGTCAGCATGGATTCACAAAAGACAGAAGTTGGCAAACAAGCCTACGTTCTTTTTATGAGGAAGTGAGTAATAAATTGGACAGAGGAATGGCTGTGGATATAGTATACTTGGACTTTGCAAAAGTGTTTGACACAGTTCCCCACATGCGGCTAATGTATAAGTTAAGGTCAGTAGGTATAGAGTATTCAATCTGTAATTGGATAGAAAACTGTCTAAAAGACCGTATTCAGAGAGAGGTGATCAATGATTCATACTTGTACTCAATGATTCATACTCTGAATGGTCTGAGGTTGTTAGTGGTGTTCCCCAAGGTTCAGTGTTGGGCCCCTTACTGTTTAACCTATTTATAAATGATAGAGTTCTCCATCAGGTCCCCACTAGTGATTGACAGCAGCAGAGTGCGGGTGCAATAGCTACTTTGCTATTGGCTATAGCCAATGGGAATCTAGCAATGCATTCCTATAGCAAAAATGTTTTTTGTTTTTTTACTGCAGCAGAACCGCCGGCCAATAGAAAACAGTTGGGCGGAGCTAGCTGTCACTGCTAGCTCCGCACAATCGTTTTCTATTTATTTTTTTGTACTTTTTAAACTATTTTTCTGTTCTGCTCGGTCCCACAGAGGGACCGAGCAGAACAGCCAAGCTGAATGCTGCCCAGTGGTACACTAACTATGTAACTAACTATGTAACTTCAGAGACAAAATGTTCACTTGCTGCCTAATATGTCCCACCCACTTCCAGGTGCCACTGTAACCAGATAATCAAAGCTATTCACTTTAATAGTAATGGCAATGTTATTACCCTATAAAGAGGCCCATTGTAGTCAAAATTGCTCTGGTCTATAAGGGGTATAAAGGTACAAAAGCAGTTGTGCACATTGGGTGTCATACACATGCCCAAAAATGTTTTGGGGATTTTACACATTTGCCATTCAGTTCCTCGCTTTTAAACTGATATCTAGTCGTTGCTGTGTAACTAGAGTGACTATTCTGACACTTTTTTTTTTTTTTAAACCACTTTTCAGATGCGAGTTAGAAATACACGAAGTACCATTGTTACTTTGTATTTACTCTGTTTCATTTATCTGCATATTAGAGATGAACTTTGATCTGTGTTTTTTTTTCCCTAGCCATTAATAGTTCAACTTTTTACATTTGTATTCACTTTGTTTAAGCTTTAGTGTTATGAGAGAAAAAAGCAAAATTGAGAAAACTCCTTTAGTTCATTTGTAAATAACGTTACAATGCTTTCTACCAGAATCATAATTTAGTGTCATTTTAAACAGGGCAAGTTATAGGATAAAATGTATACCTTTATCTACAGTAACACTTAACTTTTTTTTTTTTAAACTACCACTGATGAAAGAACAAAGATGTAAAACATTTTTTAGTTTTGTCACTTTTTTTTCTGGATTGCATAAGACAATATCACCAAAAGAAAGCCTTGTTTGTCCTAAAAAAATGTGTTACTTGTCTTAAGTAATGAGAACCGTATTGCTAAATAAACAGGCTCATAGCAGAAATGTCAAAATAACTCTTCTATTGGTGGATCAAGGTTAATATAGGGGAGGGGAAAAATGACCCAAAATTTCAGCTGCGGAGATCACATCTTAGCCTTATGGTATTCATAAAGCCTTAATACCTCTTAGTTAAAAACAAAACCATCATGCATTTCAAGAGATTATAGAAATGTATGCCGCCCATATTCAAATCTAGAAAATGTACATTATAATGTTTACTTGTGATTTAATCCTCTTCTATTTTATATGACCCATATTTAACCTTCAGAACATTAGTAAAGTGTAAGTTGTCCTTGTTTTACACAAATGTGAAAGCGTCCTTCAGCTCAAAGTTCTGATGGCATCATATGCAATCATGCACTTTGTCTCCTGAGAGCACTGCTAAATTTTGCAGGGCATTAAAAGAGCAATTATCTTTAAAAATGGTAGGTAAGGGGGTGTGTAGTGTAAGCTCTTATTTTATTTATTTTTTATATATAGCTTTGAGTCCCAGTAGAGTAGTTACATCCATCCCTTAACTGTAAAATGAAAGTCAATTTAAATAGCATAGTTTATAATTAAAGTACTTGCTATTATTTCTCAGCGCTTTAAATGTGAATGTCAAGTTAATAAACTGCCTTGATGCATAGAAAATCTCATATCGGAGGACTAAGCATATTGTGCATTTTATCTCTCCATAGCTGGGCTGCCCACCTCCATGTGATGGTCCTATTACTGCAGAGCCACTTCTAGAAGAGGCTGAGGAGTACCGTTCAGATGATGATGTAAATGTCTAAGCACAAGCTGGATGTGTGCTTCATATGGCTTATATACGTTATCTGTAAGATATGACATTGCAGTTGCCTTTTATTCTTGTATTACCTCTTTAATTAGATTTTGTTGACATATTTATGAGAGGATAATCAAAGCTAAGGGGCGTGTTGTATTTTCAGTGTTCTAAAATCTTTGTAAAAAAGTACGCTTTTATGTGTAATTTTGTGCCCTTTCGTCTATTTCATTGCCGGTGTCTGAAGAGGGAATTCTTCATTAAAATGCTATTTAAAGTGGAGTATCAAATTAATAGTTGAGTGCTGTTGCTTTTTCTGGCAATATATTTTCAAGAGCAAATAATATTGAAATGCATTTGAATCCACCTCGAGGTATATCAACGTTTGTGGTCATGTGCAGCAATGCTGAAAATTCTAATTTTCTGACGTTCAAAATATCTATGCAGGGATTGTGCCTTAACACTTGTTCCTTTATTTTCTTTTCTTTGAAATTATTTGTTAAAAATGTTTATTTTCAAAAGAAACTTTCTGTATCTAAAATATTTTCTGATTTACTTTTGTAAATAAAATTGTGGCTGCATTTGAATCAGATATTAGTGTCTTTGCTTTATTATTTAAATGATATGACTGTCAAGAGGAAAATTGTTTTAGATCATTTAAAAGAAAGTCAACACAATTTTTTCCCAAATCATATTAAAATATGAGTAAAATTTTCCAACGTACAATATTTAAGTAAAAACAAATTGTCATTTAAAAAAAAAATAATGAATGCGGTTAAAGGAGAACTGTGGGGTTAAGGCTTTTCCCCATAGTTCTCAGGGTAACGGGAGGACACAAACTAGCGTCCTCCCGTCACCCTCAGCCACAGCTGAAGCAAATCCCGACAATTATGTCTGGGTCCGCCCAGCTGCGCGAGTGACAGCTGGCTCTGCATATCTAGAGGCAGGGCCAGCTGTCCCCGCCCCGTCCGATCTGCCAGCCAGCAGATCGGACGGGGCCCCTGTCACGGCAGAGGGCTGTGACAGGATCGAGAGGTGAGCGAACACCGGTATGTGTTCACTCACCTCCCGATCTACTGAGTCGACCTGCAACAGTCTCATTGTCACAGGTCCGCTAGAACTATGAGGTGAGTGAAAAGCACTCACCTCATAGTTCTCCTTTAAGCCTCTACATCAGCGAAAGTGAAATTAAAAACAAATAGTGTTGGGTGTTGATGTCACTATACAGTATATGCGCTTTGTTCTGTAAGCTAATGAAAAGACTAATTTTTCCCAGTAAATGCCGCCATGCTTGATACTGGATCATTTATTACTGTATAGTTGACAGGTATATTAGGGGATTACAGTATCCTAACAGGTATTTCTCCCTCACATTCACACAGATTATTTACTACAACTGCTAATATTTTTTTCATGTCCAGGTTGCACAGATATTTTTAAATCCGTAACACCTTGAACCGAGCACAATGTGTGCGTTTAACATGTACATTAATTTCAGAGCCCATACAGACTTTACTTCACTTAAGCTGGCCATAAACTGCCAACCTGCAGGCTGAACGAAAAAAATGTTAACCGATTCCTTCATCCATGCTATACAGCTTGAATGGACAAACCACCTGCTGGGTGGGTGGTGTGCCGCTGTCAGAATACCTGAATAGTGACGGCAACTAATTGGCTGCCATCATTGTTCGCCTGAACAATGTTCCCTCCCATTTTCTGTAGGGTGCCAACAGGGCCACCCACTGAAAGAATTTCGATCGGTTTATTAAAGTGACATAAAACCCTCAGATTTTTTAACATAAAACAATAGTGTAATGTGTGTCTTACTGTAATCCATGGTTGTTTCCCTTCTCTTTGCTGCTCTTCCTTTTAAATCTGTATCTGTTCTCATGCTGGGCAGAACTTCTGTTTTGCAGCAGACTGCCTTGTCTCAGGAATTGATATATGGTGTCTGTGTATAGGTTTGTATAGGCTTGTAACCTAGGCCAGCACTACAGGAAGAGGCTCTGAGCTGCAAAGAGAAGTTCTCCCCCAGCATGAGAAGACATGAGGATTTAAAAGGAAGAGCAGCAAAGAGAAGGGAAACTACCATGGATTAGAGTAAGACACACATTACAGTATTGGTTTATGTTAAAAAATCTGAGGGTTTAATGTCACTTTAAGGACCGGCTGAAATTCCTACAGTATATGGCCAACTTTGGCCAGTCAAGCTCTGATGGTACTGTAAATACACCTTTGGTCAGATTTTGTAATTTTATTATTTATCTTATATTATTTATCACATGTCAATGCTCCATTTCCAAAGCTGCCCTTCCATGACATCAATATTAAGTGTAGAAACTAGGGATGCACAGATACTTTTCGAGTACCAGTGCAGATACTTGGCATTTTCATGAGAACTACCGGGGTTGCAGTGGTTGCAGCTGGGAACTGGCTATGGCACTCCACCACTGTCCTGAAATCATTAGTCTGTATTGTTTTAGAAAAACTGTCACATGACAATAAACAAAAATGTATCAGTACTCGTACTTGTAAGTACTCGGCAAGTACCAGTACTCGTACTCGCAAAACTGGTATCTGTGCATCCCTTTATTTATATTTATAAAAACAAAATCGTACATTAAAACAGAGATGTACAAATCCCGGGAGCTCCGTGTGCTCCTTACAAATGACAGCTGCCTCCTAATTTTTGAATTTTTCTCTAGTCTAGTCTTGGAGCTCAAAAGTATCGGTACATGTACTCATACTTGTACCGAGTACTGTACTTGGTATCTGTGCAACCCTAGTAGAAACTGGTGTTTTCCTGTTTCTAGGTACACTAGTTTGTCTCGTATTGTTTCTCTAAATCTTTGCAGATAGCTGATGAACAGTTGCTGTTAGTGGTAGTTGAGGGCAGGTTTCTGGATGCACCCCATTTTAACTAATTTTATGCCAAGGGTATGGACATAATAACCTTTCATTTCAGTGCTTGACATTCTAAATAATATGCCCTGGAAACACAAATGGAGATTATCAATCATAAGTGTGCTTCTTTACCCAGGTAGATATAAAAGAAGACTTTGCAATCCTGGTAGAACATGTAAGTGGTTATGACAAAGATGCTATACTATTTTTAATTCATTGTTGCCTAACCAGAATTCAAATCCATAACTGCTTGTACTATCAGTGTTGATGTATTTTAATAGTAATAATATAGTAATTTTTTTTAGACAGCTTGATAAACTTGAGTTTTTTTTTTCCAACTTTTAAAAAAGCTACTATGTAACATCTATGTTAAAAGGTGCACAGCGCTACCAATTCAAGAAAATAAACGGTATGACAACAGTAATCCTTCTTTAAGTGTATATTGGTGTATATGAAATTATTATTATACAGGATTTATATAGTGCCAACAGTTTGCGCAGCGCCTTACAATATAAGGAAGACATTACTGACTGTGACGGACTGAACCGGGGGCTGCTGGAGGAGCCTCCCTACTGACTACGGACCTAGGGCTGCAGAGATGTATTACCCCAGAGAAATTTGTTTGCTGTGTGTGTTTTCCTGTTTAATATTTTTTTCTAGAGAGAGTGCTTTTCACTATTTCACTCGATTTGAACCATCCGGACTTCCCTCTTGTTTGGATACCATCTCTGCTAAACATAATTTTATGAAGGTAGCAGGCTGTCTGGAGTGGCCATTGTTTAGGTTGATCAAGCTCTCGTCTAATTAAGGAATTCCAATGCGGCACCCTGCTGTCTGGGGCAGTGGATTGTTCATTGTAACACACTGAACTCTCATCTGATTTTGTGAGGTATAAACTCTGTGTGCTTTCTTCAATAAACCAGTTCATGTTTCCACTCAAGTCAGTGTTGTCTGATTCTTGGGGTAAGCCCATGCTATATTCACTTGCTTCTAGTTCCAGCACCCAGGGAACAGGCTTAAGATGGAGATATCCAGTCGAGGTATCAGGGAGTCCGTCACAATTACAATCGCAATACAATTCTAGACAAGATGTTAGGGAGGGCCCTGCCCGTGAGGGCTTACAATCTAAAGGGGAGGGGCAAGTGATACATGAGGAGGTAGCTGCGTGGGGATGAATTGCTTGAGAAAGTGCTTTCTACTGCCTCAGTATCAGCAATTTCTGCTAAAGTGCATCCCCAAATTATTTAAATATAATAAATAATCAAGTACTTCCTAAAAAAGATATATCTCAAATCTAAATAAGTTATAACATATCTCTAAATAAATGTAATAGTGACAATATTATAAAACAAGTATATAAAAAATTGTCCAATCTTAAAATTTCATATAGATAATTGTTCATTCACTCCTGCAAAAAGTGATAAAAGAATCCAACCAGTGCTCCACACCATGATGGTGTCTTAATAAGATCCCAGGTGATCCACAATATTGGATTTCGATGTTTTCAAGTGATGATGAAATAAAAAGAGCGCTCTATGACAGAATCGTTTACCTTATTGATTGACCGCAAATTTTAATATTCGCTCATGTTAGTAGGACTTATTTGTTTTAAAAAAACCTTGTCAAGTTCTTACTGCACGATGAGCGGCCTTTTATTTTTTTTCTAATATGGCGATGTGAGCGGAGGCTGATCAAACAGATTGCGGAGTGGAGATGAGTATTGGAATCAGAGGATGAAAGATTGCTGTGCTTTAGTGCAATATTATATCACATGTGATTTGATCGTCTCGTTGTTCTGGAGAGTGCGGATAAGAAAGCTTTATCTTTGCACGGGGAGAGTGACACTTTATTTCACCACTTGAAAACGTTGAAATCTATTTTTGTGGATCACCTGGGATCTTATTAAGACACCATTGTGGTGTGGAGCACTTGTTGGATTCTTTTATTTTTCAATAAAATCTTAATTTTTAAACCAACTATTTTAAGAGATGAGGAGTTGAAAAAACAAGATGTGTATTAACCCCTTCATGACTGAGCTTGTTTTTGGTTTCTGTTCGTAAATGACTGACACACTTTTGACATTTTTGCTGTGTGATTCTTCCACGTCAGTAATATACTTTCTTACAAAGTGCACCCACACATATTATATATTGTTTTTTAGAGGACAGATAGGGCTATATATTTATATCACATATGTGTGTCTAACGCCTCACTTAGGACAAATACAAATTAAAAAAAGAGGAAAAAACGTAAAAAAAAACTTTTTTTCCCAGTTTTGATTTGTAGTATTTTTTTTTAACAAAACCAGCACACTTAAAAAAAAATGCAATACATACATTCATTTATTTGTCCCTTATTTTTAATTTTTTTACACTTTTCACTATTTTTTTTAATTTATTTACACTTTTCACTTTTTTTATACTGACAAATTTTATTTATT